CTATAGAGTTCAATATGAATCATCGTCACAGCATCCACACTGTTTTGCTTTCAGGTGGCCCACCTCAAATCCCTCAAGCTGTGACAGGGGAAAGGGTGGGGATAAGGTGAGAGATGAACAGATAAGTGGAAATGGAGTCCAGAGTTTGTGAGAGGGATGACAGGGGTAGGTAAATAAAGAGATTATCAGTAGCAGAGCAGGACGGGGGAAGGGGTGGGGGAAGCTGAATAAGTGATAATTGAGAGTAGGAGAAAATGGGTGAACTGTAATGAATGCAACCCATATAATGCGATAGTGGGCCTCGGGGTACGTGAGAATGTTTTTAGCACACTTACCCAGTGTCATAAAAGGACCGAGTGTGCGGTGGGTAAAAAACATGGAAGGATAGAATCGGGTTATAAAATTATTGAACTCTATTTTGAGTCCTAAAGGCTACAGGGTCCCCAAGTGGAAAATGAGATGTTGTTGTTTGAGCTGATGCTGACTTTCACTGGAACAGTGCAGCAGGCCTGCAACAGAAATGTTGGCCAGGGAACAGGGTGATGTGTTGAAGTTGCAGGCAACTAGAAGCTCAGGGTAATTTTTGCAGACAGAACATAGGTGTCCTGCAAAATGGTTGCCCAGGCTGCATTTCATTTCCCAATGTAAAGACAGCATGCTGTGAACAGTGAATACAGTGGACTAGATTGAAAGAAGAACAGGTAGATCGCTGGTTCACCTGAAAGGTGTGTCTGGGCCTTGGATGGTAAGGAGGGAGGAGATAAATGGGCAAGTGTTACACCTTTTGTAATTGCTTGGGAAGGTGCCATGGGAGTGTTGGGAGGTATTGGGAAAGGAGGAGGAATGGGCTAGCATGTCGCTGGAGGGAGTAGTCACTGCGGAATGCTGACAAGGAAGGGGAAGGGAATTTGTGACTGGTGGTGACATCCCACTGGAGGTGACAGAAACAGCAGCATTCAATCCTTTGGATGTGGAGGCTGTTTGGGATGATAAGTGAGTATCAGGGGAACCTATCACTGTTGTAGGAGACAAGAGAAGGGGTGAGGGCAGAAGTGCAGGAGATGTGTTGAGCACGACTGATGGTTCTGTCGACCATGGTAGTAAGGAATGTTTGATTGATGAAAAGATGGACTTTGAGCCCCCCCACCCCCGATGAAGGTGGCATCGTCAGAATGGATGCGTCCTTACAGGAAACAACATATGAAGGTGTAAAGTCAAGGTAAATCTGGGAGTCAGTGGGTTTGTATTGATTATGATGGCCAGCTATCCTCAGAAATGGAAACAAATGTTGGAGGGAAGGGAAGAGTTGGGAGATGAATCAGGTGAAGGTGAGGGCAGTAATTGGCAGCAAAATTGATACTTTTTTTCAGTTCTGATCGAGAGAGGTAAGCAGTACTGATGATGCCAGCAACGTACTGGAGAAAGAGTTATGGGTGGGACCCGAGTAGAATTGGAACGAGGAATGTTCCATGTACCCCACAAAGAGACGGGCACAACTGGGGTGCATGTGGGTATCCACGGCCACACTTTTGATCAGAAGAAAGTGGGAGGAGTTAAAAGAAGTTGTGCAAAGTGAGGACAAGCTTGGTCATGTGGAGGAGGGTGGTGGTGGATGGCAATGGTTCGGACTGTTTTTTCCAGGAAGTGGAACGGCCTGAGACCACCCTGGGGAATGGACGCGTAAAGAGTTTGCGTGTCCATTGTGAAGAGGAGGTGGCTACAGTCTGTGAATTGGAAATTTTGAAGCCGACATAAAGTGTCAGAAGAATCGCAGATTGTAAGAGGGGAGGGACTGGACATGAGGAAAAGTAGTCAAGGTAGGAAAAAATAAGTTCCATAGGGCAGTACAGTGGGGCCTGCCTGGGCAGTCCTGTTTCTGGATTTTGGGAAGAAGGAAGAAGCAGGCTGAACAGTGTTGGGGAACAATGCGCTGGGAAGCTGTCGCAGGGAGATCCTCGAATGAAGTGACATTAGTGACTGTTGCGAACACAGTGGCTTGGTGTTCAACGGTGGGGCCATGGTCCAGAGGGAGATAGAAGGAGGTGTCTGAGAGCTGGTGCTGAGCCTCCAAAATGTAGAGGTAAGTATGCCAGAGAACATCAACACCAACCTTATCAGTAGACTTTGATCTGAGAGCCTCATGGGAGAACTGCAGCAGGCCTGAGTCATAGAGTCATGCAGCATGGAAACAGACCCTTTGGCCCAACTCGTCCATGTTGACCCGGTTTCCTAAATTCTACCAGTCCCATTTGCTTGCATTTAGCCCATATCCCTCTAAACCTTTCCTATCCATTTACATGTCTAAGTCATCTTTTAAATGTTGTACCCACCTCTACCACTTTTCCTGGCAGACTGAAATGTTAGCATTGGAACAGTGTGTCGATATGGCAGTCAACTGGCATATGAACCACCAGAGGTATTCAGCAAAATAGTTACCCAGTATTGGATTGAAGAATAAATGTTGACGAGGATACCAGGGAGCACTCTTATCTTCAGAGGAGTGTGTTGAAATCTTTACTGCAAAATAAACATTGTGAAAACAAATTTTAAAAAGGCACATTGCACAATGAGGATGAATAATAAGTAAAATTCAAAAGAGTGATGTACAGCAAGCTTCTGGTCACCTGTTCTCACGTCTGCATCTTTCGTGCAATGCTGCGTTTTGTTGATGTTGATCCTGTGGAAGATTTTACTGCATTGAAAGCATGATATACTTGTAGTGTGGAAGGAACAAGAGAAATTAGAAATGAAAACATTGTTTAAATTTGTTTCAAAAAAGAGTACTAATTACGAGAGTTGAAATGTTTATAGTTGTGGAGGTGAGTTAAAGCAAATAGTTTATTGGAGATTCACAATTGCTTATTCTTGGAAGGTGTTTGCTTGTGAATTATTATATGGTATGTAAAAAGAAGAATGAGAGCTCGAGATTGATCACAGGAAGATCGAGCTATGGGGAATGAACCACAACAGATAAAAGTAATAACAGAGAAGATTTTGACAATAATGAAGACATAACAAGGATTAATGCCCTGATTGAGAAAGTTGTAAATAAGGTAAAGATCAGGAACAGTGTATAACAAGAGGTAGCATTGAGTAAATGTGAATTGAACAAGGGAAGGTAAAAGGCAGATAAATTCAGCGGAAACACTTAACAGTAATCAATAGATTTTCTGAGAGGACTTAATTACAGAAAAACATTCTTGAAAAAAGCAGCAAATAATGACATGTAATACCTGAATAAATAAAAACAGAATGAAACTGAATCAAAAGACATGTCCCAAAACCATTAAAAGATTTTAAAAAAGATGAACAGTTTCACAAAAAAGTCAACAAAAATGTCAATAGAAGAGAGCAGCACTGAAAACTGAAATTCTGGAGAAATATATAAAGAATGTGTTTTCTACATATACAAATATAAAAGAAAATCAATTCTAAAATGCATTGAGTAAACTCAAAAGATGAAGCTGCAGAAATTCTCGTTCGCGTTTTCAACTCTATGGGGAGAGTCGACTAGAATGTGGAATATATTAACGGGAGATAATTGATAAATCAAACTAAGTCAGAAAGCAGAGTCATGAGCATCAACACCGTATGAAAAGAAGTTAAGGAAGTTAGTATAGATTCTGCTAAAAATAAAAATAGCAACTGGGAATTATATCAGAGGCTTGCAGACTGGCCATGTTCTTCCTGTACCTACAAAAGGAGCAGACCTCCACGGAAGTGTGGGCCAGTTAACGTAGGTTCTGAGAAAGGTCTCAATCATCAGAAGAAAAGTATCTACAAATAAAAAATGCAGTAGTCAGCATTGATTTCAAAAGGAACAATATTGTTTGACCAACCTATGAAATCCTTTGAAGCAGAAACAAGGCGGTGGGAATATCGTAGATAGTTGCCATCAGTAGAGAACAGGCTGAATTGCTTATGTGTTGCAAGGAGAAGGCTAGGCTACAGCCTATTGGAAGTCTTTAAAGTGGTAAGGGGTTTTGATCAAACAAAAGTGAAAGTGGAGGAGGTCAGTACAGGATTGGGAAATGAACCTGCAGTTCAAATGTGTAGGGCAGTGCAATGCGTGACTGTTCTGGGGGATACATTTCTAAAAGGAGTGAAGGGTGTATATGTGCACAGATCACTGGTGGACAAGTGGAGAGGGCAGGTACTAAAGTATACAGTATTCTCGGCTTTAAAAGGGTTATAGAGAATAAGAAAAAGGAGGTGAGTGGACACTTGTTAGTTGGAGTATTGTGTACATTTACGGATGTCACATTATAGGAAAAGTTGTGAATGCTTTGAAGAGAGTGCAAAATCGATTGGTGAGAATATACCCAGGAATGAGAAACTTCAGTAAGGAAGATAGTTTGAAGAAGTTGGGACTGTTCTTGGAGACAACATGGTCAAGAGAACATTTGATAGACGTTTCAAAATCGTGAGCGGATGAGGCGAAAATGTTCTGGCTTGCAAAAGAAAAAAAAAACAGCGTAGATTTGAAATAATGTGCAAACTTTCTCACCCGAACTATTAGCTGTGTATGGCCTGGAAATGTGGAGGCAGGTTCAATTGATGCATTCACGAGGGCATTGGGAAATGATCTAGGCAGGAATGGGGAGATGCAGGGGATTGAACCAGATTTAACCCCAACCCCAACCGCAACCCTAACCCTATTGCAGGCACGATGTCCTTCTGAAATATAACTACTGTGATTTTGTGGAGGTCCAGAGAAGACCAATGAATGTGAGTTTGAATCGATCCTTAGCCTTCACTCGAGCAGGAATTCCGGCTCAAGGCTAATTCTGGGAATGTTGGGGCGCCGGACAAGCCTGAACCGGAGATGTGCGAGCCTTTGGAGCTGCGCGCTGGGACCACCGATTGGCTGCACGGGGACAACGGAGCCTCCGCGCTAGGGCACGGCAGGGTCGAGACATGGAGCTCCGCGATGGGGACACGGTTTGCTCCTCCGCGCTGGGATCTCCGGCTAGTTGGCGCCTGCGCGGCCGGGGGCTGGGCCCGGCATTGAGGCCCCGGCGCCTGCGCCTTGGCCGCCCAGGGCCTCCCTGAGCCAGTCGGAGCAGGTTGAACGGCGAGGCCCGGGCCCGCAGCGGGATGGCACTGAGGCGTATCCAGAAGGTGAGCAAGGCCGGGGGCCGGCTCCAAGTAGTGGGACACAGACAGGCGCTTTGGGGCCGGTTGTCATTGAGCCCGAAGCGGGAGGAGCAATCCCAGCAAAGAGCTGCCCGGTCTGTGCGTCCAGCAAACAGGCCTCATCAGCGAGCTCCGGGCTGAGACTCCTCCGTCACAGTCCCCCTGTCCTCTTCCCCCCC